AGACTCATTCCAAGCAAGAGTCGGAGTCAGGTAAGGTTGTTTACTCTCTTCCTTTCTCTTTCTTCTGGTGGTTGACTGGATTATGAAGACCTTCAAATCTCAGGGGGAAGCATGGAATATAACGGACAGCTTTGATGAAACTAGACGATTTGGACTTGGCTGGTGATTTAGCTCTTCTATATCATACGTAGCAACAAATGCAGGTGAAGACAACCAATGTAACATCAGCAGCTTCTGCATTAGTAGACTTCAACATACACAAGGGAGAAAGCACATTTGTCAAATACGACACGGGGAACACCAACCCTAATCATACTTGATGGAGAAGCCCTGGAAGAGGTGAAAACTCTCACATATCTGGACAGCATCACCGATAAACGATAAGGATGTGATGCAGATGTAAAGGCACCACAGGGAATGGAAAATAGTCTCGTGTCTCTAGCTGATTGATGTTAGGGATGTGCACCATTGGTACCGGCCAGCCATGAAACCTGAAGGCCCTGTCTTTGATCCTGGGCTGCATCGTGTATGCACATTGCTGAAGAGCCCCACACTAAAACGAAAAGGCTTTTCAGTGCCTTCTGATTGTCCATTTTTATGTAACTGAAATCAGTCCGTGATGTAAACTATCAAAATACATATGCTTATGCTACGAATATTGAGGCTACTAAACCTAAGGTTGTTTAGGTCTTAAAGCTAATTGGAAGTAAATGGGATTATCTATTTGTAGAATTTCTGTTTTGACGGAAATTAGATTAGTTTTTTGCATGTTTGAGGAAAAATTTGGTTACAAATTAATATTAGTTAGCTGGAGAACCATTAAAAAGATGATGGATTTTATAACTTTTCTGTAGTGTTGTTGTTATAACTAGTCAGTTAAATGCTGATTGTCTTGGCTCTTTTAATGCTTCATTTTATATCTGGTCGTCACTGATTGTTATGTCAGAAACTTATCATTTATATTCGAAACGAGGGACCTCTGCAATCCGCATGACGCGAAGGTAAAAACACTGGTATAAGTAAAGATTTATTGACCCTCAAAACACGACAACGACAACCCTAGTCGAAAATACACTGATTAATAATTAGGATAAAATCACATATATAAAAAAATACTTGGAGTTATAACCAATCATATAATGAGCATAGTTCATGTCAATGGAATACAAGAATATGGTATATTATACAGAATATCATACGAGAAAAGTAAACAAATACTACACTGAAACAATGTTGAACAAAACTCATAATCAGTAAATCAATCGAATTTTGACTTTTCTTCCCGTCATATCAGTTGTGGACCCATGACTACAGATGAGATCAAACTGAAGACTTTCAAGTCTCCCAACGAGGATGTATTGTAATTAAATGAGAAAATTACATTTTGTCTAATTTGTTTTTAGCTCACAAAAAGTAAATGATCCTTCTATTCTTAAAATATTTTGTTAGCATTCAATACTAGAACTAGTAAACATTCTAAATCATTTGAACTTTCATTCAATTTTTCTGAACTAGACATTATAGTACATATCAGTTCTAAAGCAATATTTCTACATTTGTAAGTTGCAGAAATATTCTCAGATTATCAATTTATTGCATTCAGAATATTATATTTTATTAAAATCTTCACTTAACTGGACGATATAAAGAAACGCTTGATCATCGTTTGTCTTCAGATATTGTTACATTTCAATTTTCTTTTGTCATTTAGTTCACTGTTTTAGGTAGTTTCAGTGGAGTTACATTTTACAATGTACAACCATTTATGATTATAAAATGTATAGATAGGTATTTAATTTGAACATCTCGAGTCATCAGTAAACATAGACTTAACTTTTTTTCAACAACTATCTGTAGTTGTTGGAATAGTTCAACTTAATAATTCTTTTTTCTCAGAATTCAATTTTCCATTTGACTCTACTTCTCCTCTAATTAAAATCTTTCTTTTTTTGTAAAGGTTGTTCGAGTCCCTATAACTACGAAAGAATTAAGTCAACAAATTGTTCGACAATCTCAAAAATGGGCAGCTAATCATCAGAAACAATCTTAGGCACTTGAGTTCATCAGTTGATTTAAATAATTATCCATTACATTAAATGAAAAATAACTAAAAGAACGGTTGATCATTTACACGTTTACTCAGATTAAGTCAGCATGGTACAAATGAAGTAATCAACGCCACAAAATGAGATATATATATATATATTCTATCTATGCTATGCTTCCCTACATATATATATCTTTCCTCTTCGAACACTGAATTACTCTTCATTTGTTCTTCTACAAAAAAAGAATATGTTAACAATTTTCCTTCCTTTGTTAAAAATAAATAATAATTACGACTTTCATACACTTTCTGGTGCAATGTACTGTATTTACTCCGCCCAAACTGCTTTCACCGGATGAAATTCCCTACTTCATGGTAAACACTTAATCATATCACAGGTGAAATGGCTTTTTTCCCAATAAATGGATAGACTCCCTTGTATTTACATCATTTTTCATTTAAAATGTCTTTTGTGCATATTGTTGTTGTTATTCTTTTTCGTCTTCTTTCTTTTATCTGAACTACCTATTTACTTTACACATGGTTATTTTTTCTCTACGGACGTTAAATTACCGCTCTCTTAGACTTATGCATCAGGGTGCAGGGTCGACAGTAATATCTATCTAGACACATGAGATGGAAACTTTTTTATGAACATATACATATAGCTTCACTCTTCTAGCTTTTACGTATTTTCATCTCTCTCTTTCTTGTTTTATTTTCGAATTTAATCAACCTACTCCAACCCTAACCTTTGATCACTATGCACTTTTTTGTGCTCACGTATGTTTATTATTATTGTACGACTGAAATAATTATCTTCATTGTGCATTTATTTCTCGTAAATACTACAATTCGAATTTATACATGTCACCTCCTTACTAATGATAATTATTACTCTTACAAAAAGCTTTTGATTATTTGCTATAAAGATTCAATTAAACAACTATGTACATAAAAGTTTTATTTTTAAAATCGTTTACTTCCTGCTTGTCAAGTTATCTTAATTTTTTATGTATCATAAATAATGTGATACAAGTTTTGTTTGCGTGTTGTCTTTTTCTCCCTAATTATTCTGGCTTATTTATTCTTTGTAAGAATATTTATTATCAGACTTATCGAAATTTGTCAAAATGAAGTTCACTAGTGTAGTAAATTGTTTGTTTTATATTAGTAAAAGTAAATCTAATCCAGCCAAGAAGGCTAAAGTTATCAAATATACCTTATCAGAGAAGGAGATTTCTTCTTTGTACAGTGTACTGAGATCTGGCTCACAACATATTTTGTTTGATAAGAAATATGTGAACACTTGAAGGTGAATTTTATCATCTTGAAAAAGACTACCACTCCTTAGGATATTAGTAATTCAAATCAATATGGAAATATTCAAGATGAAATCCAGTAGAGAATTTTTATTTTATTTATTATTAGCTTTATTCAGTATTATGTTTTTGGTACAATGTAGAATTCTCAACACAAAGTATTTCAACAAGTTTCCGTTTCTTACTTCCTGGTCGATCCTGACGATAAATATTGAGTGATCACCAGTTAGAAGTCCAGTCAGTTGGCATCTAAATAATGCACATTATTTGCGCTCCATATTGCCAGAAACCACAATGTCTCTGATTGGGCCTTTTGTAACTTGTACACTTTTCAGAAACGCATATGGGTAGGCTATGTGATTAATAGCCTTAATGATGTATCAAAACAAACAAGATTAGATAACTTGTTGAAATATCTAGATGGCAGGAACAGGTAGCCCAGATGTTCAACAGGTCGCCATGTTTCTTTCATTCAACACTGTATCAATTCAGAGACAATCTTCCCGCCTTGGATTCTCGTTAATCGTTTCACAAGAAAATTACCATTTACTGAAATGTTTCATCAAAACATTTTCTGTAACTTGAATATGAATTTCGTCAGAAACTGATATCAACTAGAGATCATCAAGCAGTTATTTTAGACTCCTCAGAGATATTCACTCATGACCCCACAAGAAAGCAGAATTGGGGTCTTTAATTATCTTAAGGAGCATCACTAAACTGGAATCCAATTGTTTACGGTACGCAAATTGATAACAAAACAAAATCTCTTGAGTGTTTTTCATCCCTGGATTTTTTAGAGAAATAAAAGTACAAAACCTCTATAAAAGATTATCAAATAGGTGGGATTCGTTGTTACTTAAAATTATTTACGCATCAGCTTTAGGCCAATCAATAAGTTTTACGTGTAACAGCTGCATAATGAACACTTGGTCAGTAACGAATCTAAATAGTTTGCAGGAGAGTAGTCACGAGAAAAAGTCAATTTTTCCACTTAAAATCTGTCGAGAATATAGTAACTTGTATTTAAGAAATGAGTATGTACCGAATTTGTTTAAATCTTACAGAATGATCGAATGAATTTATATTTAAGATAACTAATTATTATAGTAGATCTAAGCGTTTTCTGTTATGTTTCTCACAAGTTGTACAAATATTCATGAATGGAATAAACATATCACAATGTCATCTGATAATTTTCAAGAAATCGGTATTCTTTATTTAGATATAGTTCTGAATATTTTATGAGATTTTAATAGTTATTCTGAAGTTTTGCATATTAGAACGATAGTAATGGCAACGGAAACATCATATTCATATTAACGCATGCTACAATGCAACTTTAAATTCCATGCTATTTAGTACCCACATACTTGGGTTTCAATCAGTTTAGTGACACTGCTTATAAGCAGAATTATGTTGACAACAGAGTCATCATTTGATACTTAACAGTTAAATTTTAAAAATGATTTAACTATTTTATACTCACCTATCTGATAACAGTTTCTTAATAAACTGAAAAGATTTTTTATAGCCTAATTGAAGACTATCAACAGATAGCTTAAAATCTTTTGTTTATTACTCTCTGAAATAAGTATGAGATCGAAAACGATGGATAAAAATAACAGTAGTTTAATATACACTAATTTATTGATTGTTTACACTATACATCCATAAAAACCTTTCGAAAGACATATAACCGTTCTTTTTAAATTAAAATTAAATGAAAATTAAAAGTTAATATTATTTCTTTTAAAAAAACTTATAAATAAGTTAATAGATGTATATGGATTTATACACTTTTTTTACAATGATCAACAGCAACATATGGAGTCGGTTGTATGGGATCTGGTAATAGACTATTTGTAGCCTCATCCAAATCACAGTCTAGTAATGACTGATTTTGCCGATTTGATTTACATAATGGACCTAATAATAAAATATGTGGATTTTCTAAATGACGTGAATCTAAATCATCTATACGTACATTCAATGGAATATTTGTTCGTATTTGTTTTATTTCATAATGAAAATATTCATGAAATCGTTTCATATCCAATTCAGCTGATTCTAATTTTGTATTTAAATCATTTAGGCTACAAAAAAAAAAAGAACAAAGATGAAGAGAATGATATTTTAATTTTAACCAGTCCAATCTAACAACCAACTCATTTCTTTGAGTTTACTTTCTACTCACTCACTCACTCATACTCTTTTCTCGGCAACATTCTCTAATACTATTTACCTTTAAACATATTGATATTTATAAGTATCTTCTATGTAATAATTTTTATCTCTCAGCATTATTTATTCACCGTAAATTATTAATCGATATTACACACACACACAAATGGTTATGTAAATATGAATATCGAGCACAGTGCACATGTGCACATATTTGCATGACATCCTATACATATTTAATGTAATAATAATGATAATAATTACTATCACTTATAAGTGGTATTATTTATGTATTAGAAAATAAGTAGAAATGATTGTTAATAATCATGAGTAGAAACATCTACTTTCGATTTTTTTTGGATCACTGAGATAATATTGATATCACTTACCAAGCGAATAACAAGTTATAATTAAATCAACCTTATAGCGGTTTACTTTGAATGTAACAACATTACTAAAAGAAAATGATAATTATTTTCACTAAAAAACTATTTATAAATGCGAACTGAATTCATGTAGTTTAATTAATTTTATGACTTTTACCTAATACTAATTACACATAAGTTAGTAATATAATACACATTTTACCTTAATGATTATTAAAACTACTTGAAAACTTATTATTAGTAGGCAACTGAAACTTCATATCTACATTATGAAACATCAATATATTTTCTCGTTAAATCTGTGGAAGCTTTTTTTGGTACAGTTTGGAATGAAACAGTTACTTGAATTGAAAATGCATTAACTATTTTCATGTAACAAACACTAATAACAATGGTTACGCCTACTAAGAACCTTTCTCAATAAAATTTATATTCTTTACAACACAATTTGTTTGTATGCTTATTCACTATCAATTCTGTCAGTCAGTCAAACGCAACGTGGAACCGGGCATGTGTGTACATCGGTTCAAATTACCACACGCCAATAGAACAGAGAGATGAATTCTGCGTCACAATAATTTAGTAACCTTATTGTTGTCGTACGTCATTTTACTAATTGTAAAACATTATTGATGCGTTCGGGTGACATGGCTTAAAATCGATCATATTGATACAGTAGAATTAATTCTTTATCTTTAGTCCCTGTTGAGATTAGACGAATAAGAGAGAATAATAAACTTTGAAAAGTATTGTTTGAAACGCCTATACTCGCGTTACTAAATGTGTAATTACTTACCCTTAGCTCATGTAGATTTTATATTTTCCACGTGGCTTGTTTCTATCTAACTCATTTACTGTTATCATATATTTTCTGTTCTAAAATTGTTACGAAGTAATCATATGGCCTATTATTTCAATTTCATGTCATGATACAAACTGTAATGTCTTATTTGTGGTGCGTTGCGGTCCTATTATTCATACATTTAATCATATGGATTTTTGAGTCAAATAAACGGGATTAGATCGGTTGTTTCATTCAGGTATTTTGGTAGTTTTGAGGAAGTGAAATTCTGCTTACCTACCCAGCATTTGGATAGCAAATCAATGAGTTGAAGCACTAGTGTAGACACTCACAAGGTCAAGGTGAACGTAATAGATCCACAAACCATATCAGTTTTTTTTCGTTTTTTCTAATGTTCGATCTAATTTCTTTATTGATAATTACTTCTTATATATATATATATATATATATATATATATATATATATATATATATATATATATATATATATATATATATATATATATATAAATTTCCACTACAGTCGATATTATTTATCTCTCATTTATATGATAGTATTCTCTCACTGAGTTGACTTGAGGTATGGTAACATGAATTGATATACTTTCGTCCCTGATCTTATAAGCGCTGTTCAATTTGGTCTGTATATTCAGTTGATGATATTTTCAAATTTATTAGGATGTCTCTACATTACAACCCTTCTTTATAGTTGACTTAATAGCCAAGTATTAGTGACCTGAAATTAAATGTTCCACGTTTTGTGATTATATCCCACGTCGTTTGTAAATTATATATTTTATCATACTAAGAAAGTTTGAAAAAGATAGTCAGTGACTAAGACAACGGAACACTTTATGAAGTAATTATCTACTTAGCTAGAACTGAACTATGTCGTGAGGTGAAAGCCGTCCGATTAAGGTCGAAGAAGTAACCACTATGCCTTTTGAGTATAAAGATGATGATATGGGTTGAAATTAGTCCCATTGAGGGATGTGCATTATCTTTTTTATTTTCATCTAAATATGGAGCTTAATATTATTCCATAAACTTCATTAGATAGTTTTATTCGTTCTATCGAACAATTATCTCCATATTTTGCATTTCACTACTGTTAATATTATTACTTTCAGCTGTTAATTTTTCGTCTTCTTATTTACTGTTATTGGTAGGCTACCATTTAAATCTCGACTTCGTTGACTTCACAGGTGACGACTTCTATTTAATTTAATATATGAGGGAGATTAATAAACGTCGCCAATAACGAAAACTGAACTGCTTTATGGTACAAAAAAGGCTAGAAAACCATTTTATCGTACTAAGATCTCGTTAATTTTGAAACTAACTCAATGAGAGGTATTGAAGGTGATTTCGAATGTAACTAGAAGTCTTCCGTTCAACAAATTATATATTTAGAGTTTGACTACTAACAAGTAGTAAAACTTTATTTTCTAAGTCTACAAATCTGTGTAATTCAGATTAGAGATAAGAAGCACTTTTTGATTACTGGATTTACTTTAGATTCGATAGTATTTTTGCAATATATAATACCTAACGCTTTTCCAAAAATATTTGGATGCCATTATTTAGTTAAGAAAAGAAAATCAAATTTTCTGTCTATATACTTTAAACTATTGGTGTGAAGGCCAGTGTGACATCCGGCTGATCAAACCAAAGTTGATACGGAAAGGTTCGAACATGTGAATAACTAGTTGAAAGGCAAGTGCTTTAACAACTAGATCATCACACCATTTGTTATGTATTATAACTATTCATAAGGATAACCAAGTTCAAATGACACTAAGAAATAATACTTTTTACAACTATGCTAACAAGAATATCAAAGGGCTGAATTACAGAAACGATTCCACAACATTTATTATGAATTGAAAATTTATTGTTTTAAAATAAATATAAATATATACACATTTACCTATCTTCTAAATCTGCAAGACGAATTCCATTATCCATTAATAATTTTTCGTTTTCTGATAATGGTTCACCAGGACGTCTGATTAATAATAAACCTTTTCGCATACATCGACTAAAATCTTCCTCGGATAAACTTAATGACTCATGAGTTAGATTTCTCAGGAAATGAACAGCACACGACTATAAAAGTATGATAAAGGAAAACAGGAGACAATTAATTGACAAATAATGTTTTTTCCGGTAACATCAGTTGTTGTTATTCTCTTTTTCTTTATTCTTCCATAATAAATAAACTAACGTATCAATCTGGATTACCACGTTAAAAACAGTGGAGTCACGCTTACGTACGTAAAATTTAGGCTATTGACTAAATAATTTAAAATGTCGTTAAATAGAGCTTTTCATCATAGAAAGTAGCTAGTTTTTTGGAGATTTCGCTTTTAACAATTTTACACATAAAAGCTGTAACACTTCAGTAACAGTCAACATGAAAAATGTCATACTTTCTGGATAAAAACGAATTATGCTCAAAAAACCCAGAAAATTACAACACAAACTTAAATTTTCTGATGAATATATAACTGGAGGCTATTGATTCATTGGTTGGTTGTTTTCAGAATGTCGTCCCTAAATGCCCGGGTACGGCCGAGAGTGGGGAGTGTCAACTCTTCAAAGACAATGTATTACGAAATCAGTTGTAAGATCATATATTGATTTAGGGTAGTTTTCATTCAACTGACTTCTAGTACGCTTTTCTTTATATGAATTAATTTAATGTGATTTTTGTTCATTTAACTGGTAGTACACTTTTATTGTATTGATTAATTCAGTATGACACGTTCATGTGACATTTGTTTAGGTTAGAAAATGCCCTGACTAATAATCACTGAATGTAACCGATATGTAATTGAATGAATTCAAATGTCAATTGATCTTCTTTGATCTTCATTGAGTAACTCTTCTTTACTAGATTTGTCCTACGAAGTAACCGGGGATAAAAGAGAAGGAGGCTGTGGTATACTGTTATGGAATTAACTATTTTTGAAGAAATTACGAGATCACCTAAAATCGGCGAACGGAACGAAGGATCGACGACACAGCAACAAGACAAACTAAACTATTCCAATGCGTTTCAGCCCTGCTAACTAGAGAGAGAAGACGCGGTTTAGATGAAGGAAAGGTATATTTATTTACTTATTTGAACACATAAATATTGGTACAAGAATGCGCCAAATATATATGCGCCACACAAAACAATGGGAATTTAAGGGTAAGGCGAAAAAAAAGATTTATGTAAGGTGGTGTAATAATAATAATGGTAAAAATGGCGGAACAGAAAGGTACAATCAGAAGAAATCTTTCAGGTAAGGGAGACACAACCACTTTTTATGGAGAAAGTAAAAGGTTACAGCAGGATCGCCACTGGCTTCTATTCTGAGCCATATCTGACAACGTCTCTACCCACTGTGTAGCACCATCTCTCGTACTCCAACCAGGGAGTCGTGAAGGATCAACAGAAGCCAGTCCTTTGCAGTTTTCTTTCATCCCACGACACTATGTCATGCACTGACCACCTCTCCGCTTCTTCCAACCAGTCCCAGAGTCGGCAAATAATGCACGACGTGGAATTCTCTGGGACGACATTCGTAGAACATGTCCAAGCCATCGAAGTCGGTGTTCCAAGATGGTGACACCAATTGAATTATCATATCTGTGCCCGAACACACGATGCCGAGCCTCTGCATTACTAACATGGTGTTGCCACTGGATGTCAGCAATCCTTCGGAGACAACGATGATCGAACACAGAGAGTCGTCTAACGTCCTCAACTCGGAGAGGCCAGGTTTCACAAGCATAGAGCAAAACTGCTCTTACCGACGCGTTGTAGATCCGACCTTTTACAGCCAGACTAACATCACGAAGACTCCAAAGATGGCCCGGATTGGCATAAGCCGCTCTGGCTTTCACTATACGTGCATTAATCTCATCACTCACACCCCACCAGCACTTATGCAGCTACCCAGATACACGAACTTCTCGACTACGTCTATCTGCTCGCCATCCAGAGTGAGTACAGGGTTAGAATCCTGCCAGTCTTGTAGAAGTACTTTGCACTTCGAAGGTGCAAAGCACATACCATACCTACGGACACTGATTGCCAACTGATTAAGTGCGGATTGCATGCCTTGGGCATTGTCGCACAGTAGGACAATATCATCCGCATACTCAAGGTCTAAAAGTCTTTCTCCAGGCAACAGACCAACAGCGCCACTACCTACATCCATCAGAGCTGTTTCCAGAATGTCATCGATGGCAAAGTTGAAGAGGAATGGTGGGATTGGGCGACCCTGTCTAACCCCACTGCTCGAATGGAACAATGGGGAGAGGTAGTTGTATGCCCTCACTCTGCCTGAGGTGTTTGTATATAGAGCTTTTAGGATGTTAATAAACTTCTCAGACACACCCCTCTTCAATAGACAATCCCAGAGAACAGCCCTATCCAACGAGTCGAAGGCAGCCCTGATGTCAAGAAACACTACGATTGTTGGCCTTTGATAAGTATGGCAGTGTTCTAACATTTGGCGGAGGGTAAAGATATTATCAATACATCCTCGACCGGAACGAAAACCAGCCTGCTTCTCGCGAGTCAATCTTTCTCGGGTTTTGAACAACCTACGAAGTATGTTGGAAGCCAATAGCTTGGACGCGATCGGAAGTAGACTTATCCCCCGATAGTGGTTACAAGAACGACGTGAACCTTTTTTAAAGATAGGGACAACTGTCGACTCATTCCATGGTACACTCTCTAGTTCCCAGACCTTTGTAAACAACGTCGTCAGTTCCTTAGCCATAAAGTCACCACCATCTTTAAAAAGAGCCGGAGGTAAGTCATCTGGGCCCGGTGATTTGTAGAGTTCCAAGAGTTGGAGTTCCTCGCAGACTTCCGCCTGATTCGGTGGACCAGTCGTCACCGGCCATGGAGGGCAGGACAGTCTGACCGATGTTGCCGGAGCAGCAGGCCAGTTGCAGTAGACAGTCCCCGTTATCTGTCCTGCGACCGACAAGTTCCCATCGGCCACCTAAACGACTTTCTTCTGTGCCTAGACACCCGACCTGAGCATTCAAGTCTCCGGCTAGTACTACAATATCTGTCGAACGCACTTTCTGGAGAAGAACAGTTAACTGGTGGTAGAATTCATCCTTGATTGCATCCGGACTGCCATCTGTCGGGGCATAGGTGGAGATGACGAAAAGACATCTTTTCTCACGCCGATTTCTTCTCACTTTGATGGAACTCTCTAATCTAACAGCACATAACCGACTGTTAATAGGGATCCAATCGATTAGTGCTGCCTCAGCTCTAGCACTTAATGCGACACCAACGCCAGCAAGACCAGACGAAGATGCCACAGGGTCCCAGGATAAGCGCACGTAAAGCAAGCTTTTCGAAGCGATAGATGGAGATCAAAATTGTAGTACTTCACCAGAGTCTTGAATACGGGTCTCGGATAGACAGCAGACATCGACATTAAGACTTTCTAAAGACATGGCCAGCCCTATCTGTTGTCCAACATGCATAAGTGTGCGAACGTTGAAGGAAGCCAGTTTGAATGGTGCACGTGGTTTCAGAAAAACTGCTTCAGTACTCATATTCGGTGGTAACATACAATTTTCAACCGGACAGTGACTCGAGTCGAATTTCCACCATAGACGAGCTGCTGTATAAGTCGAAAAAATAAGTATGGACAGAGTAGGAACAAAAGAGGGTGAATAATGTCGTAGTAAATAATAATAATAATAATAACAATAATAATAATAATAATAATAATAGTAATGATAATAATTTGAATCATTTGATTTTTATTCGGAGCGAGAAATGTAGTTTCCATAGATATAGAGAGTTCATCATTTGCATGTGGGCTGTGATACTGCCCGGGTGCCCAGACCGAAGCAGGTGGTTATCATAGGGGGCCACACCCCGAGCCTTTGACCTAAAGGTCTAACCCACAAGGTAGTGGAGCATCGTAAGGAGATGCATTCCCATGGTAGCCGGTGACCGAGAATTGGTTCATACGCCATTCGTTCCCGCAGAATACTGGATCCCATGTGCACCATTGGTTTGAGATCCAGTTAAAGCGCCGGACATTCGCTTTTCGTCCTCTCATTTTCGTAAACAACACCCCCGCCACGAGAAAGCAGTGAGTAGGACTTCCCTGGTAGAGGCTGTATACGCGTGGCCATGTGAGAGTATTTCGAGAGGGAGGGCGGACCCACTCCGCTCTCGACCGTACCAGGGCATTTGGGTATATTCCACAAGCACCAAGAAGCACGAACAATGAGCAAACAACTTAAGCATATATATACAGCATAAAAAGGTCCTTGGGAAATGTCACAAAATAGCATATTAAGAGACGGAACGAATCAATGACATTTAGGGTCTTGTCAAGTGGGAAATACAATCTGAAGGTAGAAATGGGCACATTTGGTGCGAAAACCAGAAATTTAAATTTCGAAAGTAAAATTACAAAAATAAAACGCCCATCAAGTGATTCCTGGGGATCTAGCATCCCCAAAAGAATCATTGTTATTAACCACATCAAATTTGCTGATTTACAATCATAAACAGTGCATAACATTATCAACGAAAAAATGTTTGTGGTATTGATACTTTGTAGGATGTTTACTAAATTATTTTCAGTTGCAATGAAACAGTAATAATGATGGACAGTTTAGCATACCGTTTTATATAGCAATCCAAAGAGAAAGATTTGCTATTTCAGCTAGAAAACAATTGTTCACCATTACTGAATCAATATTACTCTAAAGTGACTAGATCCAATGTCATATCATCAGCTATTAAACCAATTCATTTAACAATTAAGTACAGTTAATAACAGTAAAACTTTGTTAGGAGCCAATCAGGTCTCGCGGTTTAAATCAGTAGAATATCAAAAGAACAATTTAGAGATCACTGGTTTGACTATATATAAATGTAATTTAAATTTTCTCAGAACATTACTACTCATCTTTAAACTTTATTACTCATATGCTCACTAAAGTCATATTAGTAATTACAAAATTTACTTCGTACTATACACAGAAGCAATATGGATTGAAAAAAAAAGTTGTATAAATAAAATACAGTGAAACACTTACTAAATTCGTGAAGAAATAACCAGCTTCACCACTATTCAGTCTATTCTGATTAGCAAATCTCATAATAAATTGTAAATTAGAATAGATTAATGGTGGATTTGAATTCAGTACAATCCAAATTAGTGTCGGTAAAAAATCGTCAGCATTAGCGGTATCTTCTTGTTCAAATACAACATTATTAGTTATATTCACAGAGTTATTCATGACATTATTTTGTACATGAGTTGAATTGTTATTTTCATTTTGACTAGGCATATAATCAGGTGTTGGGCTTTTATCATTATCATTATTGTTAGATAAATATTGTTGTGTTATAGCGGCATAATTTCGATAGTGAGCTCTTAATGCATCGAATACACTACGACAACATTGAACTATTTGATTTAATTTATCTTCAGATGCAAGTAATGTATTCACTTTGATAAGAGCTAAATTAAAACAAATAAAATGAAATTGAAATATAATCACTAAAAATTAATCAAGACATGATATCAGTCTGTGAAGTCAGTGACTTTTTTAATGAGTCATTCTTGAAGGTGTAGAATACCTAGTTGGGGTTCACATGATAATTGTGAACAATGGATACGTTGAGCGATATGACACAGAATTGGTTGCAGTAACGCAGATGCATTCACGTTTTGTCCGCTCTTAGATCATGTGTTTTAGAATCATTTTACGCCTTTATTTTGCAAATTCAACCTTCTTTATGCCTAATCTTTTTTACTACCATTGACGTTAGTAATAATGATTCTACAGCTGTGACATATATCTTGATAATTGTTTCGTTGATATGGTGTGGCAGCTTGACACGATGTTTCTATTTGCCAGATTGCACGTTGCTTATAATTAACTGAAAATTAGCTTTTAAACAGGTCTCTTAATACGCAAGCATTTCTAGAAAGTAACTACATAGATAATGGTTAACGTGATAAGAATTAGATATTAAAATACCTAGAGAAATGAAGCAGTAAATAATATCGTACGGACAGTTTTATCAACTATAAAGTCACTACTTTCAATCTTGTAACCACTTTTCCTATCTTATTTAACTTTCTTAAACCGTTTACATTATTCAATCTGAAGACAGTATTGGATATGTATAAAATTGGTGCTATCTATACTGTAAATGATATAAAGTATTTCCTTTTCTGTGTAAAAATACATCTTGACTTAGACTGATAGTAGGTTGTGTACTGATTTATGAAGATATTCGGAAGAATATTAGTTAATTCGGTAAGGTAGGGCAGATTGAACTATTCTTGTAAATAAGTAATCTGATCGACACTATCTAATCATCAAGATGGATAAGTCAAGATTTACAACACCATGCATACGTTTGCCGACTGCGATTCAGGAAAAACAAGATCATTAATGTATGTAGTTAGTTCAGCTTTTAAGAAGTCATTAAGTTATTGTAAATAACCTTTGGAAATAAATAATTAACGCGCTTTGATCATTTCATCATATTAACTGTTGTCTACAGGTTATATCTATACAATGGAATAAGAAAGATGATATACGTAATTAACACGCTTCTATGTACGTGTGCGTACGTGTGTGGGTGATCAGTTCACTAGCCTATTCATCCAAAATTAAAAACTGATGCTTAAATTACAAACCTACGTAAGGCATATACACCGGATAATTTGTTGAAGTACAACTAAATATGATTATTTCAGTTAGGCAGTAGACAGTGCTATTGAATACAGTAGCTTAAATGTTGGATCTACAATAGTCTAGAACAGAAGTCTTAAATAATTATTCCATTAAAGGTCATATGTGTTACACACTTGAGTCTTACTGATACTCAATAACGATTAGTTATCGATTTATAAACTAACCGTAAACAATACCCATTTTTACATTTCCATAATTCCTGGAGTATCCCAAGAAAAAATTGGGTATAAAGGTTAAACTCGTGACTTTATTATTAATCAACAATCATAAATCGTGCACACAAAATTTACGTATTCTTACCAAATGTTGCTAGATCTAAATGGGCAAGTTCCTCTGACGAATTAGGATTAATCGGAGAATCAAGCAAGTAGGGAGTTACCCAATGCAATGATCGAATTTTTTCCTGTAATTTCAAATCTATATTTTCATCATCCGTTGTAGGTGAAGCGAAAGCCCAAAAATAAATCCAAGTTGTAACGAAACGTTCAACTGAGTTTAAAACAGATTCTTTGGTTTTTGGTGACAAATTCTGAAATGGATTAAAATTGCTCTTTAATAAAAAGGAATAAATCAATGAATAAAAAGTTATTTCTGAGATTTTTCTCATGACATCCCAATAAAAATTAAATGTTTTCAATTAGATAGTCATCAGGCTTTACTCTAATATACATGAATATTTATACGAAAATGTAAACCAATCATGGCAATATGAGTCAATAATCACAATGAAATAGAATAAGTCTCTACACATAATAGGTAAAAGTACAAGTTTGTAGTAAGAAGACAGGTGAACTGATATTAGTAAGAATAATAAAATACAATAACAAAAGTCTTATCAGTAGTTAAACGTTGGAAATAGAAGGTCAAACATGGGTAAATAGACTAGGAATAGTAATCACAAAACATTAAAATCATTACGTAATTCGATGTGTGTAAATAATTAGATAGTGAAGAATACAAAGAGGCGGAAAATTACAAACAAATAAGGTTAATCATAACAAAGTAGAATAAAATAAATGATGATAATAATAAAATTTTTAAAAAAATAATTTTCGTTAGTTAAGTTATAACTGGCCATGGAAGGGATAGGGGGGTTACGTATTTTATATTATAGTAAAGCCTGATGACTATCTAATTGAAAACAATTTTTCGCTTATATGTGTTGTTCTAATTTTCACAATAGGAATCTTTAATATTCAAAAATTAAATGAACAACGAAGATTCTCTGGTCGACGGAATATTGATTACTTTGGAAACGAAATATTTTAACTGGAAAACGATAGAAAATAAGATATATGGTGGATTTATCACCCATGAAGGTCCTCTGACTAACGAAAATAGACATTTCGCAATCTGAAAATAATAATCACAGTGATAATAATAAATTATTTCCACCCTTTTCCAGAACATGGCCTTGTATCCCTAAATCATACAACAATATGGCATTGGCAACGACTTTCATCTACACAGTGCTTTACGCGAAGGTCTTTAATGAGACAATACATTCCTTAACAAAATTTAACCGTGCTCAAAACACTGACATCCATTTGGGTGAAATTAGGTTCTTTAACCATGATTAAATCACTCAGCTTAGAATAAAGCTAAATAGAAACATCCTATTGAGCTACATATCTCTAGTCTCAACATTCATTTGGAGACAGAAACTATAACACAATAAATATTTGTTTACCATGAGCATGATTATGTTTAAAGTTTGGCTGAAGGTGGAGACATTCTAAACTAACTCACAACCTGGAAGCAACGAATCCTGCTACTTGTTAGTAAGCTTCTGAAGTATCGTAATCTGGATTATATGACAGCAATTAGTATCTTAGACGCAATTGGTGGCGGAATTAGATGTGGGCTGTTTATAAAGATAGGCGTTATAATAAAAACAGTTTGGAATAATGGAATACCTTATTTTTCATACCCTAAAACAATACAGAAACTCTCAGCCAGAATTTTTATTGTTAAAATTAGTTGAAGTGAACTGGCTGAATCGTGAGTCATACAAAGTGGTCCTTAATACATCTGAGAATACTAAGTTAGAAATGAAGACTGTTTCAATGGCTCTGGTTAGAAGGACCTCTATGGTGATACCACATTTCCCGAAAAGTTATCTTGAGAACTCTTAGCAATAATAGAAACGCTCGGTAGTATTTGCAGTGCAACTCAATAACCAAGAAGAGATTTATGTACACAGTTGCTAGCCATTCATTCCATACGGAGTTTAATATTACTGCTGTTACCCAGACAAAATAAGTGGACGGCGGTTCAAATTTAGAACTTGATGGTTGAAACTGAAGTGTTTAACCAACAAAGCCACTACTCCCTAAAAAAATCATTTGCCAAGCACAGACTCATTTACACTAAGGGCCAATGATACTACTGGGTTGATTAAATGAAAGTAGATGAATAAGGTTAGAATCTACAATCGAGCAATTAGAAGGTGAGTTCTTTAATTACTAAATCTACTTGAAAGACTCAAAATTAATCACTTAACAAGTCGAGATCATAAAGTATATTATATATCAATATAAATGGGAAACTAACATACTGAATACATAGGATTATTTGAAATACGGTTTGAAAGGTTGTGATAAAAGTCTTGCACAATCATTGAAGCTTGATTAATATTTGAACTTCGAATAGGCTCCAACTGTTCCATAAGCTTTGAAACCTTGTGAAAATTTCAGTTACCAATTTTGAATACCTACATGGCGGGAAATGTCGGCATTTGCAGAGGCTCGAAGGGTGTTTAGAAATGTTTTAAATTCTTTTTCGGCTAGTAGACACTCTTCTGGGTTCACTGAAATTTGGTCCCGGTTATCATCTGAGATATTTTACAGAATGGCCGTTCCTTACCTCGAGGAACCTTAAATATATTTTTGATAGAAGTTGTATTCCTTCCAGTGCTATGTTTGGGCTTAACCTCTACTTCTGAATTTGGAGTTGAAAGTGATGAAGTGGAGGAAGCCTGACGAAAATTTGATTGTCTTTGATGAGCGTTGCGATAGCACACGGAACAATATCCATCCCATGAAGGATTCCCATAAAAACCACACTTATTTTTACATGACAAACTTGATACTTGAAGACGAGATGGAGGGTAGTTTGTATTCATCATAAGAATGTTCCCCGGTCAGTTGAATACAGCTTATATTTTCAAAAAAAACCCATAATACATTCATTATACGTATACATAAACTATAACATATACAAATCTTCTGAATGATATGCTTGAACATAGAGATATTAGAACACTAAGATTTAACTAATATAAAACTCTAAAGTGCTTACAACAATATGCATATACCAGTTTCCAGCTACTGCTTAACTCGACGCGCGATGTTGGCTGACGTAGAAGCAGGTAAGAAGAATATTAGGGGTGGTCAAGCTAAAACGTCATATCAGTCCATGAAGTCGATGACTGTTGGAATGAGTCATTTCTGAAGGTGTAGAATACCTAGTTGGGGTTCACATGATAATCGTGAACAATGGATACGTCGAGTGAAATGACATAGAATTGGTTTCAGTAACGCAGATGCATTCACTTTTTATCTCCTCTTAGATCATGTGTTTCAGAATCATTTAACGCCTTTTGTCTCGTAAATTCATCCATCCTGAGTAACCTTCTTTATGGTTAATCTTTTTTACCATTGTTGATATTGTGTATAGATAACTTCATATTTCTCTGTCCTAATAAGGCATGGGGCTTTGAACTGATGGGTATATGCGCTAGGTTCTACGTTGACAATGATCAGCTGACTGCTTACCTCGACTTTATGAAAAAAGAACTTTCAGTTTTATACTCATTTATTGCATATATACTAATTGATTTCTGGATAGTGACTAATGTCATGTCCTTCTAGCCCCTAGTGCTGATCTAATTCTGCTGATCGAATTACAATGTATCAACTAATCTGAAAAGTTTAACAGTGGGTTTACTGTGTTTTGATATTATGTGGTTGGATGTATCTGACATGATACCCTAGACCCAGATTTCGTGACATTTGATGCCATAGGTTTCCAACATCCAAGAGAAGATATGGAGGCAATATGATACTGATCGTTAGACGTTTCGTCGAATTCAACTTATTAGCTGATTGGAACAAAAGAATTAAAAGTGAATGGTGTATGAATACTTCGATAACCACCTAGTGGCTTTGAAAACAAACAACACCCAAATTTAGGATAATTTGAGCAAGTTAGAATTAAATTTGAGACTGTATTACATTTGGTGTGGGGAAACAGTTGAAGTCGGTTGATCTGCCAGATGAGCAAGGAGGCAAACGATAATTTAATGTGAAACAAATCAGCGTTGACTGGGATTATAAAGTTACACAGACCATAGGATTATTCACTTTTGAAATAAGGTGGGGTCGAGGAAAGAGCCTATAACTCATTCTCCGCAGACTTTTCCTTCTACATAGCGACATCGAGATTTTGAAGATTGTTGCCATATGCTTAATTGACTGCTTTGTGCAGAAACAAGTCAGTTGATAAGATTGGGAACCTAAAGTATCCTGAATGGTCAAGCCAATTTCTATATACTGGCTTGACATCTGATGCTGAATGGAGTGGGAAAAAAATTAAAAAAGCTAGACCACTAGACAAATTTATCAAGTCGCCGATAATCTGAATTGTTATATCTAGGATTTTTGAATGAAGTCCTTGAGGTGATAAACACTTCCTGATGAAAACTATGTCTTGTCTGAAATAATTGCAAAACCGCTGGCAATCCTGTTTGGCTTATCACAGCAAGAATCTAAACTTCCAAATGACTGGTGTACAAACTGGGGACAAACATTTGGTCAATAAATACCACCCACTTAGCCTTACTAGTATTGTTACTAGTTTGATGAAAAAGATATTCGGCGCTACTACTCTACATCGATTAGAAGAGAGAACTCTTCTAGCCACTGTTTCAGAGCAAGTTCACCAATTTTTCACTGAAGGAAAAGATCAAACTGCAGAGGAAGATAGGAATATTATGGTAGATGCAATCTCTATTAAGTTACATAACGATTTCGTGAAAATATCTCCTCTGGGTCCTAGTCGGTCAGTTACACACACCGTGGAATTTGGTCTATATGTCAAACAGGTTAAGTTGCTACATCACAATAACAGCTAGATGGAAACGTCAAAACGAATCCAAGATTAGTAGTAAGAACAGAAGAAAAGATTAGAAAACAAATAACACAACCCCAGAAAAAATGAATTCGTTAAGTAGAAAAGCACAAGATAGTTTGAAACCTAGTATCTCAAAGAAGGTAGAGTAAATGCATCTGCGCTAATGATGTCGGTACTGAGCCATGTCATTGAACTCATCTAACCCCCGGATACAATAATCATGCTAAACCTAGGCAGGGAGTTCGAAACTGCCAACAAGACCAAAACTGACTACTTATGATTTCACGAACTGATAAGACGTCTTAGTTCGGGTGCTTCGAGCTTTCTTCCGGTCAACTAGGAGTGATCATACCTGAACGCGGAACCATCACTGAAAAACTTCGGGGTCGATGTTAAAGTTGAAGATAAGAATGAGGACTTTTATTCAAAGGAGGTATGATATGAAGGATGAACGGTATTTCATCCTAGTTGTAATCAATAGACTGCAGCTCCAAAAAAACAACTGTCATTTCCCACCTTATGCAAACCATCTAATCAGAGCATCAGAAATACTTTAAAAAATCGTCTACAGACGGGATTACAGAAATTTTTGTATGTCTTAAGGCATAAATCCACTGCCTGAGTATACAAATTAGTGATCTTTGAAAATCTCGAAATCTTGACAAAAACAATAGTTGAAGCTCCTATAGATACATCGACGTTTTAGGCAAATGTTTACTGTAAACGTTAGCAAAGGTTAGCTAACTGACGACGATCTGAAATAGCACTTACTGTAACACAATACTCAGAGTAGCCGCCTAAATAATCTGTACGGTTATGACTGAGTGGAGGGAGATTTCACTTAACGAGCTTCCGCGTCCAAGAGTAATTATTCCCCGATGTTTAAAGGCACAGACCTAAGCATTTCAAGTGAACAGAAGAGAAGCATTGGTAAATCAGTAAGGTATATTCTGCTGTGTCCTAGAGAATACGTCAATTTTCCTCTAGAAGGACTACTAGGAAGTTCACTGGATCATCTAAGTCGCTAGGGAACTTGAAGATCTAGCTGATCGTAAAGAGAGAAAGATCTGTCTACACTACGTTTTTGTGGGTCGTACCTTTAATTTCTGGGCTTTGGTCCTAACGCTTGTGTTGGGAACGAGCTTAAGTAGGTGTTTTAGAGAATGCTCAGGAGTTTTTATCGTCCTATGAGCAATTCAACAGTGGCCCATGAGTCATTTATACTCTAATGAGTAGGGATCCAGTGATTTTAGACGTTTGTCAGAATGATTGAACTTGAGTCCTCGAAGTGATTTCGTGGTTTATTATTTGTTATGTTCCAGATTATTCTTATTCTTTTGGAGTATAAGATGTCTGATGCTAGTTTCAGTACACATGTCTCAATTTAATCAAGTAACTCATCATAAAATGTCGATGTAGCATACTTATTATAGTGGTAAAAATAAAGAAGTTTTAGCGGGAAATAAATCCCCAAAATCAATAGCTCTGTAAGTCTTTGACATTTGATGTTGATCACATTAGTTTTAATGGATTCACCTTGCTGAAGGCGCTAGATCACGCATCCTCACCAGATCACGAATTTGAACGGTGTGCTCAACTTCTTTGAAATTCGCTGCCAATTTAGATAAGTCACTTCTCGATATATTGGTAACGTAGCAAATATATCATCGAATATGTTAGCTTCTGACTTCATTGGGTGGGTACGTTTTGATTATAGAAGTTGTTACTGATTAAGGTGTTATCAAAATTCTAATACTTGTGGCATCCTTAGTGGTGGGCCCGACATAATCTGGTACACCTGTTTGTAAACTGTATGTTCCTTTCGGTAATTTTATATGTCATTTCTTCACTTGAATTTTTATGTCGTGATATTTTTTCGTTCATTGCTATACTTCATATTCATCATGATTGAACAGATTCCTAAGTTACTTAAGATCAAGAATCTTACACCACCCTCATTTCAACTTATGCCACTCTGACCAGACAACATCAGAGCCTGGTTCTGCTACGTAGAATCTGGCTTCTACGAACACGGTGTGACCGATCCACGAGCACAATTTCTCTCAGTAGTGGAGGCACTACGGACATGTTGTTACGAACGAGAGAGGTAATCGGTCAAAAGAAGATGGTCTGTTCGGACGACTTTTCTTGTCTAAGGTAAAGGCAGTGCTTGACTCCTTTCAAAATAACGCTGTAGAAGAGCTGAATGCATCTGCTGACCGGTTTTTCAGTAAAAAAAAACCTCAAAGGACACGGAACGACGTTATAGAGCTCTTTCATCCTCTAATACGTCACTATTGTATTCGTCATGACCGTAAAAGATCACAAACTCTTCTAAGGAGGTCTTCACCATCTATCTCATGAAAGACAAATTACCCCGACTGGTGTCATAATCAGTGTGGAAAATCTTCTCTAAACTGCAAAAAATACTGCTATTTTCCGAGCTGTAAACAGACCGACATGTAAACCGTTTTGGAGTACTTCCAAGCCGGTACGCGTTAACGGCGACCGTAGCTGGTCAACATAGCCGTCTGCTATATGTCACTGGTGTGATTAGGAAAGTTCGCTACCTCGTCGACACTGACGCAGAAGTTAGCGTTTTTCCAACGAATTCTAATGACCAACTGCACGGACCTTTTTCAAACTTTCAGGTGGCAAACAGAAAACCAACAGCCACATATGGTAGGCGGTAAGTTTATCTCAATGTGAGTTTACGCAAACCCATCCCCTGGATCTTCGTTGTTGTAGATGTTTTAATACCAATCTATGGTGTAGATCTGCTACAACATCATAATTTACAATCGGCACGGGAAAGTAAAGGTAAGTAGATGGAAATACTAATTTATCTGTTTAACTTTTTTGGTTGTAGATTATCCACTTCCACAATAAGGCACACGACGGATCCATACTACCAACAAATACTCGTTAAGTACCCTTAGATATACCAAACGCGATGCTGCAATATATAATTTTTAGGACGTAACCGTTGCTAAATCTGATGTGTACAGCCTATACAACTACCAAAACGTACTCCATCAATCAATTAACTTATATAACTGTTCAACACACTAATAATTGTTTCTTCTGTACTGCTATCTGATGAGTGATATCGGCTAACTTGATCGTTAAATGTCCATATTTACTTGATTGTAGCCGGTTCTGAACGATTGAGAACAGCTGCCTTGAGCATCAATAATGCATCCGGGAAAATCTAGGGAGTCGGCTTCAGTTTGACTGTTCTGAATGTTTACAGTAATGCTTTGCTTTTGTAGTCGTTTGACAACAAGGTCTAGATACTGGAGATGAGATTTTCTGTTCAGACATGAGATCAAGCAGTCATCAACATACGCAAGACGTCATCAATAAATTTCTGGAAAGATTGTGCAGTATATTTTAAGCCGAAAGCATGCGCGAAAATTCGTAGAAGCCAGATAGAGTGATGATAGCGATTTTTCGGATATCGTCTGTGGCCATGGGAATTCGTTTATACGCTTTGAATAAATAGATTTTCGGAAAAAGTAGTTGATTTTTTGTATGTTAGCTATCAAGTCGTGAATACGAGATAACGGGTAACTATCAGGAATAGTTTTTGTATTCATTTGTCGATAGTTACAAGTTGGACGCTAATCACTGCTATCCTTTCTAGTAGCCGTGTACATAGACGAGGCCCATCGGCTGTCGAATGGCCAGGTAATTCTGGAGTCTATCATGTGATCGAATTCGTTTTTAGCCAATCTCAGCTTTTCAGGTAAAAACGGGCTGGTATGTTGTCAGGCCAGAAAGACATGGGCTGAAATGTGGGCGACAAAGGGACTTAATGATATTTAGCTTAGTTATCTTCCGTCACGATGTGTATAAAATACCAATGGATGGAAAAATATATCTAAACGTACAAAAGAACAGTGCCACAATACGTAAAAATTAAAGTGATATATGATGTCCCAACGACTAAAAGTTTATTGTTAAGTGTACGAGATCAGGTCGGAATAACCATTATAGGTATTGGAAGTTTGAAAACGCCTTCACTCGTAACATCTTTTTAATCGAAGTATACCAACCCAGTCAAGTCTATGGTAACATGTATATTCAGTGATTTTTGTAAGGACGTAATAAAAACCGCATTTTCTCTCTAATCTGTCACACTTTATATGTAACCACATTTTTATTCAATATCTATTGTTTTTCTGCATCAATTTTTTAAAAACGATCATAATTATTTGATATACATTTACGAATATTTTACCGCGCTGGTTGAAATGTAAACGCTATCTGTTTTTCTGCTTTATTAGCCACGGCCTTTGGCTGAAGAATATAATAGTGTTATAACATCCTTTTAGGCCTTCCAAGATTGCGTCAGAATTTCGGTCCGGATTACTATTAAATAATGCTATTGGATTCAATCTTTTTCATTACGCCGCTGGTGCCACCACGTGCAGAGGAATCTTCGTTAATCAAGTGAACTCATTTGTGGTTGTTATCTCAGAGAGCAGCTTACATATAACATTCATTTCATAACAACTGTCATTATCTTGCTATTTAATATACCATCTCTATCTTAACTGTAATTTGTTACCTTTTGCTTTACTCATAGACAGACACTTAGGGTTTTGCTGTTAACTCTTTTGGTATATTATTGATAACCTTGAGTATTGGTATATCTTTATTAAGCTCTTTTGTTGGGATCCACCACAAACCAGGAGTTAGAAATGAAGTAGTTCAGATATATATTTAAAAGGCTATCGATATATCGAAAATCGTGTTATCTAATCTGGTTTCCCCTAGCAAGGGATGCGTAGCACTGCATACTCATTTGTGATAATAACAGCAAAAACGTATTCTCAACTAACAGTCTGTTACATGAGGCATGCCAGTTCACAGGTGAGATCTAGTACGGATGCGTGACCGAGTGCCTTCAGATAGAAAGGCCGGTATCACTGCCGAAAACGTTCAGAACTATGTGTTTTGAGGATTTACTTACCGCCACACTTTCATAACATTTAGAGAATAAAATTTCTTCCTAAAACAGGAATGGATTTTATAATAAAACCACGAGAACCAACAAGACGATCACACAATATGACACCCGCTTAAAATTAAAATTTTAGGTAGGTCAAAGATGAAATAGTTGCCAAACGACTTAACGCGTCAGCAGATCGGTCCTGTTTCAAAAATTTCTGCCAGTGTAATAGTTATAGTAGTCGTAAACAAACCAGAAGAAAAACCAGTATACGGAAATACAGACAAAGATAAAATAAAAGATGCACAGGAGGAAAAAACGAAGAAATAGTCACCACGCGGAACACATATGGATGGGTTTTACACAACATAGAGGGTTATACCAAATTAGAATCCGCCTACGTAACATCACACTGAGGATGTATGAAGACAGGTTCCAACAGTAACTTTAATTCTCTATGTCGAAATGTGTCAGTGTTTTGAAGCGTTGTACAAGGCATATGAAAGGCTAGCCGGAAATAAGCTCCAATCAAGACGCCAAGTTGGATTTATGAACCCAAAATAATTGATATAAATCGTATATCAGTCCTGAGGACCATGGCACTAATCAGTCTTACTCCACTTGAAAACTCGTTTTTCTGTTTTTCTTTAGACTCGTGTACTTGTAACATCATAGATTGGTTGGTTGAGAGTTGATCACAAACAACCAAGCATATGCCATATGGCTATACATATATACCATATGAACTACTTCTAAAAGTTTTCGGTCGAAGATATTTTTAGTAGCTTGATACGATCAATACTACTATTAATAAGTGATTTTTAAACAAAACATTTTGGATTAAACCAT